AACCTATACGAAAATACTACGACACTCTTACGTACATTTACATTTTAAAAAGAAAAGAATGTAATATATTTTTGTATCTGCTAAATCATAATTTTAAGACTTATGAGTATAGATAAATAAATAATAACATAATAGCGTATTATCCGTTATATCCAGTGCCATCGAGGCCTTTTGGGCGGATTCGAAAGACACTATTTACATCATCAGTAGCTTGAGAAACAACTGTTTATGTGTAAACTATCTTAAGAAATTGGTTTATGATATCTCTTAACATCAAATTATTTATTTACTTTAACACCAACTTAAACTTAGCTACAATGTACACACTTTTCTGTTATGCAAGAAACACAAAACTGTCGCTGCCAGTGCGTCCAACGACAAGAAATAATATTTGGACGTGTTAGTTAGCGATTTGGCCTTGTCCGATTATACAAATAGGTAACTTGTTTTAAGTAATAATCACCGTAAGCAAAACGTAAGCCCTGATGCTGAGTAACTCTGCTACCACAATTACGTGGAAATCAGCCACTTGTCGAAAATATTATTTGGATATTTTCACTCATTTATACCATTTGTTTTTGTCACCATGATTTTCACAAAGAATATAAACAATGGGCTAGTATGGGCATTGGGTTTTTACAAGAGAAACTGTATGTCTAAGGTTTGATAACCCAAAATGTCTGTGACATAATAATAAAATTGTGTAATACATCCTTTGATGTTAAAACATAATAACTTTTAATGTATTTGTAGACTGCATTAAAATCGTGAATAATACAGCTATACACATTTTTATACCCTTTTGACATTCTAAAATTGCAGTAATAGGAGACTCAGAGTATTTCTTTTTTTACTTATTATTTAAAATGGCTAAACACTCAACCTTTTCACTAAGAATGATAATCTAATTAACGCACACCTTCATCATGTAATGTGGAACATCGCTGCAAACTACCAAACGACAGTTGTATGCAACAATTTTAATCGCACATCATTAAAGGCCTGATGGTTAGGGCACTTGACTTGCAGTCTGCGGGTTCGAATCCTATCACCAAACAATGGCACACATGCTTGCCCTTTCAGCTGTAGCGGCGTTATAAGGTGACTGTAAATTCTGCTATTTGGTTAGAGTAGCTCAAGGGTTAGCAGTGAGTAGTCTTGACTAGTTGCCTTCCCTCTAGTCTATCACTTCTAAATTAGGAGCATCTAGCGCAATTAACTCTAGTAGTTTTGCGAGAAATTCAACAAACAAACGAACGTCATTAAAGCAGTTAAACTGTACTCGAACCCCACAATTTTCTGTCATAAGACTTTAAAACTTAATAAACCCTAACAGTCCCCAAGGGAAGAAAAACTCGAATATGTGCCCTGAATTACTTCTATATCCAATCATGTTCAAAATATTGACAACTACATGCTAATTGAGTCAAATGGAGATTAGGCACCTTCTTGTCTGATTTTATTGGAAGAATAGCAAAGTACTTTTTAATTAGCGCACTAAGTTATTTTTGTCGGTGGATCAGGCAGAAGCTGCAGGTGGTCTCACCTTTGATCTTTACTGCCTGTTGGCCAACTAACAGGCGCCAGTCACTGTTTTCTTATGTCAAAAACTGGTTGAGAGTTTATTGCCATATATAAATGTTGGGGCCTGGGAGAGCAGATTTTTTACGATATTTTTGAGATAGATTCGCTAGTGAAATTGTGTTATTTATGCTTAGTGTACGCGGACGGGTTTTACTGTTCGTAAGTGTTGGCTCTGATACTGTTAGAATTGTACATGGTGGTCCAAAACTTTATTTCCAATTTAATAATTAAATGACGAAGTAAATACA